AAGATCCTGACATCCTTAGGATAGTTGCTCTATCTTAGCCATGCCTTAAGGTCTAGGTAAGTGAAGAAAGCATAGCAAAGGCTTAGTAGCTAACTCTTGAAGAAAGCGTCAGATGCCATAGTCTACCTTCGTAGTTGGTAGAGAAGAGAAAATACAGGTCCGCGAATCTGGAACTACGTGACATGCGGGATAGCGGTTTTAGTCAAAAACAACAGAAAAGAGAATTAAGGATAACATGGCAAAAGATCCTGAAGAGAGGAGATGGAGAAAAGGGGCTGATGACTCGAGGAGATTAACTTCTGAGCTTCGATGGTTCGGTTCCGCTGGTATTTCATCCAAGCTTGAGTCTGGCAATCGCAAGGAGAGTCTCCCTCCAGTTGCATGTGGTCCACAGGTAATGGAGAGGGCGGTTTTCTGTGGAGAAGTTAGAAAAATAGCCGTTGCTACAGTATCTCCTTATGAGATCTGGAAAATCGGTCCAAGATCCTTCGACAACATGGTTCTGGGTTTGCAGTGGAGATAGCTGGTCGAGTGGCGACAATGGAGGGCTTGAAGGGTAAAAAGGGGGTGGTAGGCTGAGTAGTAGTGCTAGTCGCCTAGAGGAAGACCTGACGACGAAGGTTGCCTTGCCTTCTGTACTCGACAGTGGTGGGGCTGGCTTCACGGCAACAATCCGAGTAAGCGGTAGCGAATGGTGGATGTGGGTGGGGGGAAAGCAACGTTCCCTTCCTTTTTGTGGACGATCCTTTCGGTAGAGTCGTTGGAAGGGATTACGTAGTAGCTGCGGTTGGACTAGCGGTCATAGGTCTTCCGAGCAAAGAACATACAACAAGTTTGCAGAGTATAATGCTTCAAGGCGGATAAAAGGAGAGCTTCGACTACTACCGACTTGAATATCGTAACTGGTTAGGCTTATTGCCAAACAGGTAGAGTTTCCGCAAAGTAGTATAATAAAGCTGTAGTTCAGATATTATGACATAGGTGAGAGATTGCAGAGATGAAAATGGTGGTGGGATAAAGTAAGGCGGAAAATAGTAAGTTACACAGGATGGTAAACTATGGAGGGGTGTGGAGATGCTTACTTTATTTGGAAGGTTGAGGGGGGAATTTTACCGTACGTGGGGAAACCGCAGATAGGTGGCTAAGTTGTGGGACAGATAGGTGAGAAGGTAACGTTACCTTTGGGGTTGGCACCTTCGAGTTGCATTCGGTCCCAAAGGTTATGGAAGGCACAGTTCTCCGAACAGAAAATGGAGAGGCAACCTTCGGCACAGTACTTCTTCATGAGCTCGGGGAACCTGCCCCATGAATTGCTGGACGCCATCGCCCTTGCACTGAGTACTCCGCTGGAAAAGGAGTTGAGTTAGTACAGGATTGCTTTACGGTGCGGAGTGGACGGTTTGCAGAGGTGAAAGGCGACAGGCGGGTTGATGAGGGCGGAGTACGGGCTGGCTGACTGGTCGTAGCGACTGATAGGGTACAACAGATACGTAACGCTTCGGATTGAGAAAAATTGGCAAATTACTTGCGGGCGGCAAGGTCGAAAGATGAGTGAGATGGGTGAGTAGATGGTGAAGAATCTAGCCCGACAGAGCTTCCGATCTTTCCAAAGTCGAATCAGAGAAACAATGCACAGAGCAGCGAGTTTCGAAAGATATCGACGAGGGTCTGGCCTCGAGGTGGGCGGTAAGTGACGTTGGAGAACGGGACCTAGTCTGTCGGGAAACGAGGTGTGGAATGAAGCGGTTCAACGTGGGTACTTTGCCGTTCAAGAGTTGAGCCTGGTTCTCCGAACCAGGCCGAGTTGCGGGGAATAGGGTGAAAGTGAACGTTGGGGTAAAGGTTAGATACTTAGTAAGGGGTTGAGATGGCGGTTTAGTGAAACTTACGTTCGTACACGTATACGTGAACAGAGAGTATAACGAGAGGCCTTCATATTACTGTTAGTAGGTAGAGTCCAGATTCGGGAGATGAACAAACACCAACTTTCTAAGGTAGGGGAGTAAGGGTGAGTTCATCTTTACCTACAATAGGTAGTTGGTTATGGTAGGAAAGGGATGCTACACTTACCTTGTTTGGAAGTACTGGAGGATTTTACCGTGCGTAGAGCGCGAGCGGGAACTGACCAGCCGTTCGTCTTGCTGCAGGTACGAGAAACAGAGCGCCGCCGAACGCGTACGGGAGAATTCGCCAAAGAACAAAAGTCACTTTCGGGAATCACCAAGGCGGGAGATATCAAAACGCCGCCGGATTCCAGTGAGGCCGAGTACACCCAAAGAATGGGAGGCCGCAAAAGGCCTAGAGAAAATAGGCCCTTTCGGTCCTACTCTCTTTGGGGTTCAATTGCTGGACCCCTTTCCCGTTTGCAATGAAGGGGGCCGAAGCTTAGGAGTTTGGGGCGGGCCACTGGCCTCCGAAAATCCTCCAGCCGGGTTACCGGCATATTTTGATAAGGCCAGCATGACTGCTCCTGATCCAACTGCCTGTCCGGATACAGGGTCTAAGCTTCAAGGTACCGGACGGCTGGCTAGAGAGCCTGAGTGAGTGACCTGCTCCCCACTTGACCGAGATCCTGCGTCACCCTTGGATACCCTCATTTGAAATGATGGAGTCTGGTCAGGCTATACGCCCCCATTTCTTGAATGCACGCATTCCGCATGCTAGCTGCTCTCCTTCAATAGGAAATGAGAAACCTCGCCTTCTATTCGTGTTGAATGTACCTGATTTACGGCCAGGCGGAAATGCATCTGAGGGGTAATTACTTCCGACCCGAGTGATCCAAGGCTCACCCATCTTCTCACGAAAGGTTGATTGGGCCTCACTGCACTACTGAGCATTCAACATGTATCTTGACAGAAGAATGGACCACATGTATTCGGACCGATAAAACAATTTCAACGTAACGGGACCATAACGAAGTCCCAGATACGTTTAACAAAGTTGTCCATTCTGCCTTCTTTTTATTTTATTTTTTCATTTTTCATATATATATATATTTTTTAATCTTTTTCAGAACCACGCTACTTTTAGTGTACTGCAATCTCACGTGAACACAGGTTTAGGCCTCGCTCCACCGCATAATATTCTCCATGTATCTGGACCTCGCAGTGGACCCAGTACATTCAAAATGTTCGATCAGTCCGCATGTATGTGGTCCACATAGCAGTCCACATACCAGCCATATGCGGAGTAGTGGAGCGAGGCCGTGTGTTTGTTGGCCTGCATTTCTCTGTTGATAAGCATCACTCAGGTGCCTTTCCGCTGTGTTTGGAAAATAGCTCCCTGCCCAATTCCATGTCCATGAGTGGGTGGGACCTCAAAGGGTGTCGCTCATCATCACTCAGGTGCCTTTCCGCTGTGTTTGGAAAATAGCTCCCTGCCCAATTCCATGTCCATGAGTGGGTGGGACCTCAAAGGGTGTCGCTCATCTCCACTCCTTGATCGCTTGTAGAAAGGTCTTTCTCTGTGTGTGCGTGCGTGTGTGTGCGTGCGTGCGTGCGCGTGAGAGAGAGAGAGAGAGAGAGAGAGAGAGAGAGAGAGAGAGAGAGAGAGAGAGAGAGA